TGTGCCGTGGCAGAGGGCCGGGTAAGCAGGCAGGCCATGGGACAGCCCAACACAGCAGCCGGGGGTCCCCATTCGTGCCCAGACCGGCCACCACTCCGAGTGACTCAGCCAGTGGCCTCCTCCCCAGGCCTTGGCTTCCCCACGTGGGAAGGGAGGGGGTTCCCAGCCACCCTCCCTCTGCAACCTGGCCATCGGTGGGACCCAGCAGAGAGTGTCCAGTTGACAAGCGGGACAGCACTTTGAAAGGCCTGTGACTTGTGGCTCAGGAGCCCCCATCCCCCTCCTCCACCTGAATTGCAATGGGCCGACTGTCAGACCCTCCTGTGCACTATCCAGAGCCCTTAGCCCCGTGTGTCACTCCCAGGTTAACTTGGCCTGAGGGTGGGGACAGAAGCCCCCCCACCAGGAAACACACCCCCGGCCATAGCAGGTTCTCAGTCAATCTCCAGGCCCTGTGGGTGGACGCTGGAACACAACAAGGACAATCAGATGCCGCCTCCCGGGCAGCCAGTCCAGCACAGCTGCTCCTGCCCCCGTCAGGCCTGACCCCCAAGCCTCTCAGGGCCTGTATCTGGGCTAGAGACAAGAAGAGGGACAGCCAAAGGGGCTGGGGGGCTGCTCCACCGGGAGGGTGTTGGGGGCCCAGGATTCACCTAAGTGCCAGCCTCTCCCAAGGGGCCGTCTCCTCCCCCACCAGCCAGCACCATCTTTCCAGTCATTTCTAATTACGAACTGGTAGTTGTTGGAGGTGCAGGAGTGAGCCTCCCCCTCCCCTCCTGCTGCTCCCTAACCTTCCTGTGCCACAGCCCTCGGCAGAGTTGGGGCATCTGGCCTGCCCCCGCGCCCACCCCAGCCCTGGCAGAGGTCAGCTCACCCTCTGCAGGTGCTGAAGGGGCACAGCTGCCAGCAAGCCCAAGCCCCTGCCGGGCGCCCACCGCAAACGTTCTTGGCTTCGGGACCTGGGCCTGTCCCGAGCCCCTGCCCAGGTCACTGCCTGGGCCTGCCGTGGCAGGGAACGCTCAGGTCAGCTGGATAAATACGATGACAATGCTGTCTCCCTGGTCCCCACGATCAGGTCAGGCTCTTCGATCAGCCCCACCAATAAATGCATCAGACACGACCCTTAAAAATATACCTGTGTCCCGATGACCAATCTGAGCTACAAAAATCAGCAAGTGCTAAAGAAACTAGGCAACGTCCCCTCAAACTTCTGACACCAAATGGCATTAACCAATAAGGGAGAAGTGCCCCCCCTCACCGGCTGGCCCAGGGTCGTAAACACACAGCCCCATGAGGCATGTGAGCTGGTGGCCCAGGCAGAGGTGAAGGCTGCCCGAGATACTGACTGTGCTGCCACTGGGTGCCTGTCTTCATCGGGGACCATGGGAAAGAAGGAGCTGTGGCTGCAGGTTGAAAGTGTCCATTTCTGCAGTGGCTCAGGCCTAGGCCCCGAGCTCCTGGCCCCATCTGGCCCCCACCCTGAAGATCGGGGGCAAAGGGGCAAGAGCTGGCTAACCCCACTCCGGCCGGGCAGCGACTCAGCCCCCAGCCCCCTCATCTTAGAGGAATAGCACCCCAGGAGAGCCCTCCGTCGGGAGGGCACGCGCCCTCTCAGAGCCATCAGTGACCTGCCCCAAGTGCCTCCAGCCTCTGGCCACCAGTGAGCACCGTCCATTTCCCTGTCAAAGAGAACTAATCAGGTCTCCAGCCCCTGCTGTCTGGGCAGGTAGGGAGCGGGGGTAACCAGGATGGCTGTTTTGACTTGGTGTCCCCCTGGGGTAATTGAGAGAACCATCTCCACCTCCTGGGAGGACCTGGAGCTCCCGCCTGTTCGCCCACAGCCAGGAAGTTTCTCTCCAAGTGTCAGCCCAGCGCACGTGGTGCTCCTGACCCAGGCAGCACCTTCCTGTCACTCCTGATCTCAGCTCCATCCCTCCTGTGGCTGCCTCGCCCTGCAGACACCTTGCTTCTTACAGACTGAGTTCAGTCTTCAGCTTCTCACAACCTTCTCCCCAGGGACAGCAGGGGTGGGGCAGGGGGAATGTCACCCTGAAAAGCCCCTCTGCCAATGCCCATGCCCTGCCTCTGGGGTGAGCTCCTCCATGGGTCCCTCCTGCCCTGGCCCACGCTCCAACGGCTTAGGAGCATCCCTCGCCCCCAACCTGAGGCACTGCCCACTCCACCTAATAGCTCTGGGTTTCTGTTGAGAAGGAAGGAAAAGCAGACAGAAGAGTGTCCTTGTTTCGACCTTGCTCCTCCTGGAGGGCGCAGTTGTGTCAGGGCCTGCGGGGCTTCGGAGCCCTGTCCCCATGCTGGGGGCCTAGTGCCTGAGACCCTGAGCACCTTCCGTCTCCTGCTGTGCTGGGATCCTGGCTGAGGGTGACTGGCATCCAGGCAGCATGCCCTGCTCAGCCCTGGAGACCACTCCCTTCCTTCCTGTCCCCTCCCCCCAGTGCTCCCCTGACATACTCCCGCTGACTTCTATCTGAGCAGCTCCTACCAACTCCCAGCCTGGACCATCCTCTGGCCACAGCCCCTCCTTCTCAGCCTGTTCATGTTTCCTGGACGGAACCCCTTCACTCTACTGCTTCCCCAGAGCTGCAAACCTGAGACCTCCACGTGTGCCCTGTGACTGCTGAGCCATGCAGGCACCCCCCTTGGGGAAGAGCCCCTCCCCACTGCAGTGTCATCCCCTAGGCTGGAAAGGAAAGGAACAGAGTGGCGCCTGGGCCAAGGAAGATCCGAGTCTGGAGCTATGCTGGTGGGAGCCCCCACCCCTGCCCTGAGAGGTGACCTCTGGGAGGCAGTAGCCAGGGGAGGAAAGAGCTGCTGGGGCAGGAAGTGGTGCTTCTGTCTCCCCTACATCCCATGGAAGTGGCCTTACAGAAGCAGAACCCCCACCCCATCTTCCATCCTCGAGAGACAGGAGAACCCAGACTTGTCGGGACCAGGGGCTGCTGGGCTGGGTGGGCTTGGGGGCTGGTCCTGCCTCCCTGCCCCTCTGCCAGCTCCCCGGTGATTGCTCCACTGCTCACCATCTGTGTTCCTGGAGCCACAAATGGATCCAGTCCCTGTGGTGCCATCAATGCTCCCCTTGTTGGCAGTCACGGGCACTGGCCACCCTTCCAGGCTGTTACAAAATCAGGGTTCGCTCCAACCACAAACCCATGGAACCCCAGCCTTGGAGCCCCCCTCAGAACCCACCACGGCCCTGACGAGCCCCCTCCTCCTGTGTCTTGTTTGTGAGCCTAGAACCATAAGGGATCCTCCCACCCCAAGAGTCCCAGCCCTCCCCTGACTTTCAGTGGGAATGGATTTCTGCTGGGAGGGAAGGGGGTTCCCAGGGACCTTGGGGCCAGGTTTTCCCTGGAGAGTCTGAGGGCCCCACCTGCATTGCCTCCAGCTGGAGGGGCTCCAGAGTGCTGCTCATTCACGATTTAGTCCCCCAGAGAGGCCCTACCTCCTACAGCACCCTGGCTGAGCCCGGCATGGGGATATGGACCGTGACCCTGCACCCCCGGCCTGCTGCCTTGTATCCCACCCAGACAGCTGCAGAGGCCCCCATCAGGCCCTCCTTTCACCCTCTCTGTCCCCCACACAGTCCCCTCCACAGCCATCAGACCATCTCCCCAGAGTGCTGGTCACTGCTCCAGCCACAACCCAACAGACGGATCCCAGGGCACAGGGCCTGCAGGCCTAGGCCAAGCTCTGTGCGCTGTTCGCCCACGCGCCGTATCTCTGCACAGCGGGGCCAGGAACATTGTTGAGTGACTGATGGATGGATGTTGGATGAGCGCCCGCAGCTGGGGTTCCATCCTGGTGGTGCTGAGACGCTGGGCTCGGGTGGCCGCTCCCTCCTATCTCTCCCTGACCCACCCCCATGACTCTCTCTTGAGGTGGTCCCAGCCAGCGCCTCCATGATTCCTTCCCCAGGAAGGCAGCTGCTCAAAGGCCCATCTCCCCTCAGGAGTGTGGACGGCAACACCAGCCCCAGAACCAACATGAGCAGCCCAGGGGCCGAGCACGGAGCGGTGGTTTGCCCTGGACACTCTCGGAGTTCATTGGGAAGGAAGGCTCGTGGAGGTTGTGACTTACTCTAGGACGTGGGGGCTGAGTTCAGGTGGAAGGAGCACCTCCACCTGCCCCTAGCTCCTTGACATTGGGAGAAAGATGAGAGAAGGCCACATCGCCTTGAGCCATGGGCAGAGCTGGGGGGAGGCAGCTGCGGACAGGGATGGTGCAGGGTCCAGGGCCCCCAGCCCAGCTCCGTGGGGAGCTGAGGCCCCAGCTGTTCAGACAAGCCCCTGTGCCGGGTGTACCAGCTCTTGAATGAGACCCTCCCCCAGCCCCCAACCCACTAGCCCCTTTGGTGAGATGGGGATGGGGGTGCAGAGCCACCAAGGCAACCAGACTGCGTGGCCCTGCTGAGCCTGGTCCAGAGGCCACACAGGGGTGGGTGCTGAGGAAGGTGGTGACAACCATCACTGTTGGCGCAGCCAACATCTACTGAGCACTTGCTGTACACCAGGCCCTCAGAACATGGCATCACGCAGCATCTTCACAACATACCCAGGAGCTGGTTCTGTTCTTAGCCCATTTTAGAAAGAAGGAAAGGGTGGCATGGGGGACTTGGAGCCAGCGGGCAATGCCACTCAATGATGCCTAATGCAGCCAGAACCTCCACGCAGCCCCCAGACCCTGCCTCAGACCCTGCCCTGAAGGGGCTTCCCACCAGGGCTCTCAGGGCTCATCGGTGTCCCCAACCCTCTCAGACATAGCCCCACCATCCCCTCCCAGGAGCCCCCAAAGTGGGCCATCCCCAGCCTCACTTCCTGAGCACAGACAGAGAGCCTGGTATTGACCGCACAGACTGGGCATTGATTGGCTGGAAGGTGAAACCTGAAATCATCCCAGTTGCCAGTAAACAGGATTTTTAATTGTTTAGGAAGCTAAGCTCTGGGGTCAGTCACCTCCCAGGAAGCTGGGGGGTGGGGAGAGCCATGGGGCTCCGATCCGTCCACAACCGCAAGAGCAGGCCCAGGTCTGGGAGGGGCCTGGCCGTCGTGGGCAGCTGGGGAGTGGGGCGTGAGAGTGGCCCCCGCGGCTTCACCACACTCTGTGTGGCCCAGCAGGAGGCCTGGCCCCTCAGCCAGGATGGGCAGGCGTGGCTCGCGGTCCCTGGACACCTGTAGGAAGTGCCACCAGCTCTAACTTCCAATGCTGGGTCCCACCTGCTCCTCTTTCTCACTGTGACTCCTTAAGCAAGTCGCTTAGACCCACCATGCCTCAGTTTCCTCATCTGTAAAATGCAGTAACAACCATAGATGCCTACACAGACTGTTTGAGTTAATGTGAGCAGATGGCTTAGAGGGGCTCCTGGCTTGGGGCGTTTGTTCAATAAAGGGCAGCCATCGCTTTGAAAGTAAACTTCCAACGAATCTCACCAACGTCACCAGGATCCATTCTCAATGTGCGTGAGAAGAGACAGCAGCCCTCCCGGGTCTGTTACAGAAACACCGAGCTGCCTGGCACAGGGACGATGCGTTGTATCACCCCATCAAAACACCTTCTAGTCGGGGATTTATCCTTCAAGAGCGCCATCCCCAAAGGTTCCTAACAGACTGGGGGTAAAATACGTCTCAACACTAATTAATTCCACATGTATTGCGTGTCTGCAGGTGTCGGGCGGGCCTAACTGTGGTAAGAGCCCCACCTTCCCTCCAGATGCCTCAGCCAGGCCACAAAGATCTACAGCATGACAGGAGGGCGGCCAGTGGCTGGGCACCCCCTGCTGCCGGAGGCCAGTGTAAAAACTTTGATTTTATTCTCAAGGGAAGGGAAACCCCCGGAGGTTTCAAGGGGGAGAGGGATGTGGATCCAGGAGCAGAGCCAATGGGAGGCCTTCATGGCCTGAGCAGGGCCCAGGGGTGGCACTGGGGTGGAGGAGGGCACAGCCAGCTGCTGGCCACAGAGGCTGGCGGGGATAGGAGGAACCTGAGCTCAGGCCTGTGGCCCTTGGCAACCCTGACCCAGAGGAGCTGTGACTTCCCACCCCCACTCACCACTCACCAAAGTCACCAAGGCCTGGAGCAGGAACCTCAGACTCCCCAGTGACCCCACATGATGCCAGGACCAAGAACAGAAAAGTGGCACCTCCCACGCATGAGCTCAGAGAAGCCAGCCCCCCAGCCCCCAAGCATGAGGGAAACACGGGGCGCAGCTCTGTCTGCACGTCTCAAACTCATTAGGGCCCAGCTGACATTTCTCCAAGAAATAATTAATTTTGATATCACAAAGGGCATTTCCCGGCGGCCAAGGTCATCGCGGGTTGGCTGCGGCCTTCCTGTCAGCTGCGGTCTCCTACTCAGCCTGGCCGCTTGACGAATGGGCTTCCAGAGACTCGGCTGCACAACTGACAGCATGAAGAGAAGCTAAAGCTGCTTTTCTTGCAGAAATCACACCGCTGCCTCATCAGCTGCAAGGCGGCCCAGCTGGGGGTGGGCGCTGCAAGGCTGGGGGGCACGTTTGCAAAGCTGCATCTCAGCTCCAAATCCCAAAGAGGCCTTCAGGGAGCTGTGGGCGTGGGGCCGCTCTGGGGTCACCTTCGAGGACTAGCCTCAGGCTCCTGCTCTTTGAGCACAAACTTCTTGGTCTCAACTTCAGCATAGTTGGGAGTCATGGGAGCTGGTGTGGGGCGAACCGCAAAGTCCTGGGCTGGACAGCTGACCCCAGAGGCAGCTGGAGCCCCACAGTCTCAGCTACAAATGCAATGACTGCAAGGCCACCCTCGTAGGCTGCTAGAGGCTGCAGTGAGATCCCGCATGCGAAGCGCTCCCACGCGGCCTGCTCGTGGCTGTCCTAAATGCACTTGCTCACTAGGTGTGTGCTGTCCTGGGGCTGCCGTAACAAAGGACACAGACTGGTGGGTTAAACCACAGGAAATCATCATCTGGAGGTTCTGCAGGTCAGAAGCCCAAGATGAAGGCGTGAGCAGGGCTGGTCCCTCTGCGCCTGTGGGACAGTCTGCTCCAGCCTCTGTCCAGCTTCTGGGGGCTGCTGGCATCTCTGGCGCTCCCTGGCTTGCAGAAGCATCACCAGATCTCTGCCTTCATCTTCACAGGGCGTTCTGCCCGTGTGTGTATCTGCATCCAAATTTCCCCATTTGCAAGGACACCGGTCATGTTGGATCAGGGCCCACCCTACTCCAGAATGACCTCATCTTCACTAATTACATCTGCAGGAACCCCGTTTCCAAATAAAGTCACATTCTGAGGGACTGGGAGTTAGGACTTCCACACAGGAATTTTCAGGGGACATAATTCAACTCATGATTGACTAGGACCGAGCGTGCTGCTCAGTTTCAGTCACAGCAGCTTCATTCATAACTGGGGAGCGTCCAGGACGCCCCTCTATGTGAACGGATAAACAGAACGTGCTACGTCCAGACAATGGAATGTCACTCAAGGGCTAAAAAGAAACGAGAGCAAGCCATGAAGAGACACGAAGGAGCCTTAAATGCATGTTAATAAGTGAAAGCAGCCCATTTGAAAAGGCTGCACACTGTGTGACTCCAGCTATGTGACACTCTGGAGAAGGCAAAACCATGGAGACAGTAAAAGGATCAGCGGTTGCCGGGGGTCAGGGGAGGGAGGGATGAGCAGGTGGGGCACAGGGACGTTGAGGGCGGTGAAAATACTGTGTGATAATGCGACAGCGGACACGTGTTATTCCACATTTGTCCAAACCCACAGGACATACACCACCAGGAATGAACCCTAATGTTAACTATAGACTTTGGGTGATAATAATTTGTCAGTGTAGCTTCATCACTTACAACAAACGCAACACTCTATGGGGATGTTGGTGATGGGGGAGGCTGTGCGTGGGGAGGAGGCCGGGGGTTTACGGGAAATCTCTGAACCTTCTGCACAGTTTTTCTGTAAAACTAAAGCTGCTATAAAAAATAGTCTATTAACTTTTTTTTAAAAGTTCACACCAGGGGTATACAGGAAGTCTCTGTGTTGTTATCACAACTTCCCTGTAAATCTAAAATTGTTCCAAAATATGTCCCCTCCCATACCATCTTCTTCACCCCACCTCCTGTGCCTGCCGACTCTCCCCCTCTGGTCCCCTGGCCGCTGGGGCTGGATTCCAGGAGGAGTCACTGTAGGGACAGCTCTGCTGCAGAGAAGGGGGAGATATGACCATGGAATCTTGAAGATGCTGTGCTGTTGGCTTTGAAGATGGAGGACGGAGCCACAAGCCAAGGAACGACAGCACCTCTAAAAGCAGGGAAAAATCAGGAAACAGATGCTCTCCTGGAACTTCCAGAAGGAACTGTCCCTGCTGACCCCTTGATTTTAGCCCAGGGAGACCCACATTGGACTTCTGACCTCCAAAGCTGTAAGCCACTAAGCCTGTGGTCATTTGTCACAGCATCCATGGGAGACTGATACACCCCGTAAACCAACCACTTGTTTGGGTGCCAACAGAAGACAAGGGCTATGCTGACTAATTAGCCACCCACAAGGGCCACCCTCCACTCCCCAGATGATAGTGCAGAAACGCTGGATGGCCAGTGTGCCCCAGGGACTTCCTGTCGGGATGGCCATCTGGGCTTCTGCAGAGGGGTGTCTGGTCAGTGCTGGGCTCCCAGGTGACAGGGAGCAGGGACCTGGACACTCCTCTTTGTCATCTGTTTCCTCTTCCTCCCCACCTGAGCCAAGACCAGCTGGGTCCTCACTGTCTGGCGTAGTGCCACCTTGAGCTGGACAGGCTTGGCCCATTGGACAGGTGAGGAAATGTGGCCAGAGACACCTCCAGCAGGCACAAGGGGCCAGCCCATCCCTCACAGGCGGCCCTGGATTGCCCCAGGTAAACACGACCCCACATGCCACTGGCCCTGCCTCAGTTCAGGGGCTCTGGAGGGAAGGCTGGGGCTGGCTGGTCCCCACTGGGTCCTTATTCCAGTTAGAAGAACATGCACCCTCTTTGCTTTCCTAAGTTATGCTTTAATAGGCTCTCAGTCCCTGAGGTCCCCTCTCCGTGGATGCCCCCATCTAGAAGGGAAGGGGGCCCTCCCCAGCCGCTTCCCTGTTCCCTATCCCTGCAGTGTGTCTCGAGTGAGAAATTGCCACGGTGGCATTAAGCGAAGAGTGTCCGATCGCTGAAGGAGATTTCCCTCTCGCATCCCAGTGCAAGTCTGGCTGGAAGTTGCCAGACAGAAACTTCTTTCCAGCTCAGCATTTCTGCCCAATGCAGTGTGTGACTTGCTGCCGACCCGTGGCGATTTAGCAGGGAGCGCCGCAGAGTATAAAATATAAATCCAAACAAAATCCGGGCAGCGAAAAGACTCAAACCACTCAGCCCTTTTGCTTCTTTTTTTTTTTTTTTTTTTTAAGATGACCGGTAAGAGGATCTTAACCCTTGACTTGGTGTTGTCAGCACCACACTCACCCAGTGAGCGAACCAGCCATCCCTATACAGGATCCGAACCCATGGCCTTGGTGTTATCAGCACCGCACTCTCCCGAGTGAGCCACGGGCCGGCCCCCTTTTGCTTCTTGAAGAAAAATTGTCTTTTCACTGAGAAGCTGCGTGAAGTCCTGGTGCCCAGTACCCCTCCTTCCAGAGAGAGAAGGCACCAGCAACTTCTGAGCACTAGGTGGGGACCTCGGCAGGTGGGCTCACCTGGCTGTGGACAGAACCCTCCCCCAACACACAAGGAAGGCAGAAATGTTTATCTTCAAAATAATCCATGTGACAATGAGGACACATGGGATGCTGAGCAATGTTGGGACACCTTCCTGCTACAGTGAAATTGTGCTGTCTGCACTCAAGGGACAGGTAAGGGCTTCCTGAGGAGGTGGTGGGATGGGGCGGGGGTGGCAGGTGGCAGCACCCTGAGTCTCTTACTGTTTTTGGTGGGTAGATACTAATTTTTTAAATCCTTTTTTTAAATCTCCAAACATTGCTTAATAACACACTCCATTTAAAGGCACAATAATCTACTGGAAAATGAGGAGTCTTGTTGTTGGGTTTATTTTGTATTGAGAATCTTGGTCCCATTGTAGAAAATTGATGGAAGGCCACAGGAGCTAGAAACAAGCTTTAGTCACTCAGCTTCTCAAAAGAATACAAATGTTTTTCTGCACTTTTTCTAAAAAAATTTTTAAATATAAAACTGTTCAATAGATTCCATGAATCATTTTTAGGCATGTTTGTGACATATTGTGACAGGATGGTGGAGAGAAGAGACATGAAAGGCAGGGCAGATGTGCCCACACCACCGGGGGAGGTGACACCTCAGCCACAGTCCCCACCACATTCGATAGTCTCACATGCCACCTTATCCCTTCTGCATCATTCCCAGGAGAGCCTGCAGAGATCAGCAGAGGCCTGAGGTTTAAATGACTCTTCCTCCAGGGAGCCTCCCCTCCACCCAGACCTGGCCACTGGCCACCTTCTTCCTTTGCAGGTCTGCTAGCCCCCTGTCCTTCCTTAGTGTCCCTCTCGAGTCTGTGCTACATGTATCTGCATGGTCGTGTGTCCTGAGTCTACCTCCCTCCCTGGACCACGTGCCCCAGGAGGGCAGTGAAGGGTCAGATTTTTCTTACCGCTGTCTCGTCTCCCTAGCACCTAGCACCTGTTACCTAACTCACAGTAGGTGCTGGCGGGGAGCAGGTGCTCACTGAATATCTGAGTGAATGAATGAGTGCATGAGTGAATGAAGGAATAGGCGTGGTCCAGGCTGATCATCCAGGAGGCTCCTGAGATTGGGAGCCGCTCTAAGCAGAGGTATCCAGGT